CTGGAAACCTCTCTGAGTGTCCTAGATCTCCCCTGGGTGACACTGCCAGGCATCCTGGGGCTGGTTGTGGAACAAGGAAAACAGCAGGGAAGAGATGCTACAGCATCAACCCAGGAAAACCCGGCAGCAGTCCATATGAGCAGGTAAATCGCTTGAGGAGCTCTTTGGTTCATAAACACAGGTCCCCTTTGGCTGCTATGGGTATTCATCCCATTAGAAAATATGGAAACAGCAGAAGCACTGTTCACTGTGCACATCTATTAAAAATTAAGAATGCTGACGAAACCATCAGGAATGGAAAGCACAGCTCTTTAGTAGAGATGAATTCCCAGAACTGCGAAGACCACATGTGTTTTTCTGCACTTTCTGCATAGTTCTCAAGCAGAATGCTCCCCACATTTCACATGCAACAAGAGGAGAGCACTTGTCAAGGCTCCCCTGAAATGGGCTCAGACCCTAAGAGCTGAAGCAAGAAGAAAACCTATGGAGAGAGAAACCTGCCCTGGCTTTGCAGGGAAACGCTGCCCTCATCTGTCTTCTGGTGACAGGCTTTGCTGTCCTGCCTGCAGAGCTGCAATCATTCAGAAACCCAGCAGCGAGGCCGGGTTCCCCCTTCATTAGCTCTGGGCTGGTAGAAATTCCTGCAGAGGCAAATTTAGAGACTCCTCGGTGGCCCATGGAAAGGTGAAATGAGGGAGGAATTGCATGTGCATTCATAATACACAAAAACATAAACTTTCAAGTTAGAAAATTATATCTGCTAGATGAAGCATATCACTAGCCAGTCTATATTTGTTTGACTACAGAAGGAGCTTCTATTAAACCTCCATAAGACACATTAAAAGCCAGCCAAAGTCCACAGAAAGCCCTCAGAAAGTGCAGATCACACAGACCCGTCCTTCCCTCCATGGCAGCATTCACCAGAGAATGCAAATTCCAGATTTTCACCAGTTCTGTACAACAGAAGCCAAGGAAATGCAACCTAAAAAGCTGAAAAATGTTCACATTAAAGTCACTTTGCAAAAAGTATTTTAGACCTAGCTACTTAGCACCAGGCTGCAATAATTGTATAAGGGGATTACTTTGTATAGATATAAAGAACAATTTCTCAGGCAGCAGCAGAGACATAAAAGGGAGGAGTTTCATAGACAGCTAAAATAGCAGCAGGTATTAAACATAGCATAAAGCACAGAAAATGGCCATTTATGAGAGAGCCTGTATGCATTACGGATTGCTGTGCTTAGCTCTCATGTGTCCCCTGCTCTCAAGCTGGAACCGATGAGCACAGAGACAGCAACAGCCACCCAGCACGGGTCAGTCAAACCCAAAAACGTGTTTCCTCCCAGGTTTCCAAACTGTCTGGTCATTGTCATTCTTCCAAAGTGGTATATAGCCCTGTAAATATGCAGAAACATCTGCATAACCCAGAAAAACGTGATAAACCTCTGTAGATACCCAGGTTGGCTGTGTTATCTACACAGCAATTGGCCTGTAAAGTCAATGGAAATATTCACATGGGATCCATCAGCTCAGTATAATGTCTTTCTCCTCCCTCATTCCCTTCCTTGAGTACCACTTATCCTCAGGGTTCAAATTTCAGTTCGTTTTTACCGTTCCATGCATCGTTTGCCCAAAAAGCAGATCTATGCAGAGGATCTGCAGCTCCCTCGGGGCTTGCAGGAGGCCAAGATTAGACACTGGCTCCTGGCATCCCTTTAGGGCCAGGATCAATGTTGATTTTTGAACAACTGCCTAATGCGGTTAGGGTGAAATGGTTTTTCCCTCTTAAGGGTTTTGTCACTATTCTCCCTATTTGCATCATAGTTAGAGCTAACTCAGAAACAAATCTTTTCTTCTTTCAAATAGTTTTAAAGCAAAGCAAGCAAAAAACCATTCCTTAAAACCATTCCTTCAAATGGTTTTAAAGCAAAGCAGAAAAATCAAAATATCAACTCCATTCCCACCTGCTTCCCAAAGCAGCTCAGACTAGAAATTATATAAATTTTTGTTTTTTTGTTTTTTGATTCTTTTGTTCAAAGAGGTGTTTGCTAAACTTGAATGTTTTTTCCTTCTCAGCCCTGCTTTATTTATTTATTTATTTGAAGGGGTATTTGGCCCAAAAAGCACAATCACTTCGAAAACACTGAAATTTGTTTCTTCCAATGATGTAAAACCTTTTTCCCTTCATAAATTTTGGGGTCAACGGACTTCTGTTTGGTTCGCGACCCGTTCTGCCTGCCATGGGATGAGACTCAGCCGAGCTCCTGGGGGCAGGGGCCAAAAACTGTCGGAAAACAAAGTTATTGGGGACAGAAAGGCCCATTTCCCAGGGACAGGCAGCAGATAAGATAACCTTTTGCCAGTTCCATTTTGCAGAATCATAAGAGCAGTTTTAGCAAAGCAGCTGTGCTGTTGCTGCAAAGTTGCATGCGTGTTGCACAAAAGCATCATTTTCAAACAACCGGAACGTGCCAAAAAACCTTTCCCTGCGTGGAATGATTTTTCCATGTCCCAATGGGAGCCTGATGGGGCTCCTGGCGCTGGGTGCAGAGCCATGGGCTGGCACTGCTCTCTGCTGGCCACGAGCCTCCGTGCAGCTCCAGGACCAGTGTCCAGGCTGGAAATAAGAATTGGGTCTAAAACTGCCTCCTTAAGCCTATTTAACACTTTACATACCTATACAAGCGACAGTTCAAATACTCTTCTTAAGCATTTCCATGTTACGGATGTGGCTTTCAGACTCCCTGGCACTGTTGATGTCTGCGCTCCCTTCTCTGGCTGAAAGTACACTGGAATCCCAAGCCAATCCAAGCTGAACATATTTGCTTTTTCATGTTCTACTTTTCTCTTTCCAAGAATTTTCCTTTCACTGCAGTTTGGTGCAACTGGAACAGAACTGTTTTCTCTTAAACTCTTTTCCCTCTTCAAAGGAAAAATAAACAAAAAATAGAAAAGCACTCAGGCCCCTGCCCAGGACTGAACATCCTCTCTTACAGACCGGTATTCATGACTTTGCAGCATTCCCAACAGGCAGGAGAGTGCTAGCTCCAGCTGCCATGGGCAAGGAGGACCAGCTCTACGGGATCCAGCCTTCCTCCAAAAGGAAGGATTCTTATAAGATTGGATTCTCCATGGATTCTCATAAGATCCCAAGCTGGAAGATTCAGCTCACGCAAGGAGAACAGCAGGAAGACTCGGTGCTCTTGGAAAAGGGTGACAGACCTGGCCCTAGAGCACCCAGGGACAGGAGAGGGGTCCTCCTAAGCTCCCAGCACAATTTCTAATCCCTCTGTCCTCAAATTCACAGGAAGATTTTCCTCTATTTTCTGAGCCAGGGCAAAAATCAGGGCTATTGCATTAGCTCTGAACAAAAAAAGTGGTTCCTGGATGTGAACCCCTCAGTTCAGTGTCCCAAAGCCCTGGGATCACAAAAGGCACCGCCTCACCCCACCAAATCCCACACTGCAGCTCCACAAGAATTCTCCAAAAGTGTTACAAACAGAAAATTACTTTTTATTTGCTATAAAGTGATGATTGGTCACAAAAATACCATTATAAAAGGTATACGTAGGTATGCAGCTTGGGAAACTATCCCTGTTGCTTCATGTCCAGAAATGGGGACAAAGCCCCAAGAGGAAGACACAGACAGAAACCTGCCGTATTGGTCCCAATGGACCATTGTCACAGTGACATAGACATCCCTCCAACACGGATGCTAAGAGGGAATCAGGGTCTCTTTACCTGACCCCCTACTCCCTACCCAAGACCAACCGCACTGGCCTTAATGCCCCAGCTCTTGGAGTTGGGTTATAAACTGAAGCTCTGCTCTCTTTTCCCCAAGAAGAGCTGAGAGATGTTGGATCTTAAAAGGCACCAAAGCAAAATCACATTGAAGATCTGCATACTTCCGTAGTTTTCCAGAAAAATCTCATTATTGTGGATGCCCAACCTCATGATTTTGGAGTGTTTTACACTATTACAAGGACATTGTAATCTCCACCTAGTGTGAATCTCTGCTTCTCCTGGCTGTACAACAAGACTGATGCACTGCTTGAATCTCTAAAAAACACTTGAGTCTAGGCCCTTTGCTGGGAAAAACCCAGCCAGAATGAAAAAAAAAAAAGATGCAGAGAACATACTGATAAATAAAGCCTTGATGAATGGAAGGAGAGCAGATGCATCAGAAATCCAGGGTTGCTATTTCATCCTGCACAGCCTTGGCTAGTGACAGAGCATGGGGACACATGGATTGTGAATTACAGATGCACAAAAACCGAGCATGGACACCCTGACACAAAAGATGAGGAATCCCTGGAGGAACAGTGATAAATACAAGGAAGCCTGCTTTTCACCACATTATAGCCTTATTGAATGGCAAGGCCTTTTTTTTTTTTTTTGCCACTTAATATTTATATATACACAGACAGAACACACACACTTGAGTCAACATTAAATCCTGAGTGGCCTCACAGCACTGAGCAAGGCTTAAAGAGGAAGGAAAAAAATAATCCATAGTCCCTGGACTGCAGGGCCAGGCAGCAGCTTCCCCGCTTACCGCTCCGCCGGCGCAAAGCTCTGCAGAAGCCGTCGCTGCCCACAGCACCATTTGGCTCAAACTTCACATAGCTGGAGAGCACCAGGATGTGTCTCTTATTTTCCTCCCCACCAGCATCTGCAGTCCAGCTGGACGCTGGTTGGACTCGGTTGAGCATACACAGCCCATCACCCTGGGGAGGCTGGAGCCCCTTCTCCTGCCCTCGCAACCTAAGAATCTGGGGAGACCTCGGGATCTGCCTTATAATCCATTGCTCCCCAAAAACATAATGCTAAAAATAAATAATATGGCTTGCTTTCAACTGCAGGCTGGGTTTTTGAGGGCAGGGGGTTGGGTTTTTTGCTTTTCTTTTTTGCTTTTTTTTTTCTGATTTTGCATCGTAACCTTCTAATAGTTTAACATAAAATCATCTTTAAGTTAAAAAAGTTGTCGTCCAAATGGAGTCTCAGTCTCGTTTGTACACGAAGCCACACACAGTGGGGATCTCATGGTCTTTTTCCTTTTTGGGATCCACAATGTGGCTGTATCTCTCTCCGCGATGGCATTCCAGATAGGGCCCCCAGTTTGCAGCTGGCCTGCAGCAGCCTGCAATGCGCTGCAAAGCAAGAACAAAAGCAGCATTTAATGTCTTATCTTAATCTGGCATACTTTGCTGTTCAGTAAAGGTGGAACATTTAATATGCACTGCAACTCAAAAAATAGGGAGCAAACTACTTTTTTGGCTTGCTTGTTTCTGAGAGTTCCAAACCTCCTCGGTTTCAGAGGACTTTATCTCAGGACACAGCATGGCAAATGTGCCTCTGGTGCAACTACTACAGATACAATTTGGTCTGAAAATCCAAAAAAAAATCTCCAGGTATTGAACATGCTCTTGAGAGCACAAGCTTTTCTGATCATGCTAAGGAAAGCAAGATTTGTGTCTAGCACAGCTGATTTTTGCGCCCTTACCTGGAATAGGTTTCCTTCTGCTTTAGCTATCTTTACAACAGCGACAATGGGAATCCAGATGACACAGAAGATAATCATACACCAGCCCACTGCAGTTCCCCACGTTGGATACAAGACTGAGCCGTAACTGGGGGTTGAAAAAGTGACCAGAGACCAGACCAAAATTGCCTTTTAAAAAGAAAAAACAAAAAAAGATGATTTCAAGGAGACCTGAACTTGTATTGAACACTGTTTCCAAATCACAGTTGCTATAGGACTGGCTGCGAATTCTGCACAGCTCCCTCTTGTTTCCAGAAATGAGATTTTTCATGCAGGATTGGGTATTCAAACATGCTCTAGCAGTAAGACTGAAGGACAGAAGGGAAAGACAACACTGCTATGCAGCCCAAAACTTGTAATTACATCTTAATGATGAATTAGAAACAGACTTCTGGGTACCTTCCTATTCTTATTTTGGAGATTATATGCTTTTTTGAGTGAGCTCACTACCTTTGTCCTTTTTAGCCTTATAAGAGAAATGTTGGTAAATATTCTTGCAGATGTAAGCTATTTGTAAGAAGTTTTTCCTAAGTTATAGTCTAGAAAGATTAAAGACAATGTTGCAGCCAGAACAACTTGTCACTGCTCCGGGGCTTTTGGCATTTTGGTTTTTCCCCCCCTCCCCAGATACTGCACCCATTAAAATGGAGAAGAACATGACAGGACTAAGGTGGAGCTTGGTGAGAGAGGAAAACAGCTGAATATCCTAAGAACAAACTCATGCCAGGGATCTGTCCAAAAAATGGGACTTCTCTCCAGTTCTAGGATTTCAACACAACTTTTCTTCAGCCTGAAATGGGGATGCCAGCTGGTAGTCCTACAGCTACATATTTCTCCTAGGACCTGGCCCATTAGTAGCTGCTCTGAAGGCCTGGCCTCCCTAGGGAAGGCCCAAGGCAGAGCAGTACCTACTGGACCTCCATTGACTCAGCCATATCTCATCTTTATATTCAAGACCTGGAAATTCAGCCTTGAATCTTGACCTGAAAACCTGTCCAATATCAAGCAAGTTGGGTGACATTAACATAATTCAGCCATTTATACTCACTGTTAGGAGCACCGGAGTAACAAAAAACCAGCACAACCTCCACCACAACCAGAAGAAAAAGTGCTTCTTTCCAATCATCATTTCAATGTCTGCAATGAATCTGTTTCCTCCTGTTGAAAGACAGACATATAATATACCATAAAGGAGCCGTCTGTCATGCCTGTGCTATTGCTCAAGAACGATAGAAGGAAGGGGACAGAATGGTCAAGGTCAGCTTCCCCAATTCCATGAGAAGTGGGCGGGAGGCTACAGTTAACAGTTAAGACTGCATTTTATTGCAGGGATTAAAGTTTAATATACAATGTGCCTGCGACTGTTTGTATCGACAATTCAGGGTTTTGTTTTAGTTTACGTAATTTACCATAAATGTAGACGATGCCTATTATTTCCAGAACAGCTGCAATAAGGATGCCCCATCCAGCACAGAAATGATCTATTAAGTTAACCCAATAAATTCCTGCCTGTAGAACAAAGAACAAACAGGTAAAGATATACGCAATCCTAGTAACTTTTCATGCAAATAGACTAAGCTATGTTGTTTTAATCAATTTAAACAATCAACTTCAAATTTTTAAATTACTGATTGTCTGCTTTAAGCAGATTTGTGAACATTATTTCATTTGAGTATCTCTATGTAAAGTTGAAGAATGCATTTGATGAAACACTGCAGATCTGTATATTAGCAACTAGGTATATGTCCATACTATATATATGTATGTATAAAATGAGCTGATAGCAAGATTCAAATTCTAATTTAAAGGTACTAAAGCTGAGGCTTCAATGAGGATTTACAGGAATAGTCCTAGCAGTTATCAGTTCTGTTAGGCTTAGGTACTCTCTCACATCCAAGTTCCCCAGAGCTAAACACAGCTTTAAACACCAGTAATGCAGTAGCAGAAACGCAGGACAGGCTTTATACCATCTCATTCTTATGAACCAAGCCCTTTGCAAGTTTCCTTGCCATCATATTGTGGCATCCTATGTGCTTTGCTTCATGACGCAGCCATTTATTCACCACAGCTATCTTCTTTACATGGAATTACATATGGAAATCTGCATTCCTAGATATAGCCCTTGTGATCCTTATACCCTCAAAAGCAGTTGCCTCTAGAAAGTGGACATGCTGTGCTGAAAATTTCTAACAAATATATTTCAGAAGGAGTAGCCTTGTCTACTGCCAAGATGTTTTTGACCGAATGGTCTTTCTGACTTTCCCATGGTAATTTCTTATTTGCTTGGTCAGGTATACTGCCAGATGCAAGATTCTCTCAAATATAGGCAAAGAAAAAAAAATGCATGAAAGTTCTTGTCATACCAGGAAAGGATTTTTTAATCTGAGCAAACTAACATCATTTGAAGCATAACTAAACCTACCACTAAAAACTATTCAATATCTTACCTGAGTGACACATATGAGGCCAAGAAAGAAGAGCAATACGCACACACCCAGGGTTACAGGGATTCTCAACTTTTTCATCACTTTAGGATATATATCCTGTATGGTGGTGGTTAGTGTTTCTGTAAGAGAACAAGAGTGAGTTTTGAGCAGAGTCAGAACAACTAAGAAATGTGACTTTCAGCAATGGGTTACTTAAACTCACCTATGGTGGCAAACTGTGAGTCGAGGCCCAAGAGCAGAAGCATAAAGAAAAACAAAAAGGACCAAAGAGGAGCAACTGGTAGCTTGGAGAGAGCTTCTGGGTAGGCAACGAATGCCAAATCAAACCCTGCAATGCAGTGAAATAAAAGAGGTTATTGTCAGGCTGTAGTCAAGCAGGCCCAGATCGCAAGGGCATGATGATCAACCTACCTGAGTCTACAACTTCTGAGACCGGTCTCTGTGACACAAATGCCATATGTCCCAGGATAGAGAATATTGCAAACCCAGCAAACACACTAGTGAGGCAGTTTGTCACACAAACTATAATAGCATCCGAGTAGCAGTTGTTGTGAAACTTATTGTACGAGGACAAAGCGACAAGGCCACCCCACGCCACTGACAAAGAGTAGAATATCTGGGTGGCTGCATCTTTCCAAACCTAGAACAAGAAAGAGTTTTATGAATTACAGTAAAAAAAAAAATCAAGTTTGTCTATGGAAGCTGCAGGGCTTTTCTAGATTTAATCTTTATAGCAAATTTTATTTCATGCAAATTTTAGAATTAGTGGGAAATACCATGCAGGTGACTCTACTGTCTTTAACACAAAGAATATCTTCTGTGATCTAGGGAAGGTCATAGAAACATCCTGTGTCTGTTGCCAAATATTTAAGCCTTACTGAGATAACCTTGAAAGAGAGATTCGATTCATTCACATATGTGGGCTGTGGAGATACAAATCTTGTCCCAGTGCCAATGTGTAAGGAGAACCTGCATAGGGTTGCAAAAATGAAGACCTGTGTGTGCTCTCCCACTCATATTCCCCACACCATGACCCTCAAGACTCAGTCACTATTGGGAGGCTCAAGTTAATTCTGCCTCTGCTGCAACCCTTCAGTTAATGGCAAATGCTCACATAAAACACAACAGATCAGATACAGTGAATCTTTGCTTTTCATCAGACAGCACTGATATTGGCATAAACCTAAACAAAAATACAAGCTAGGCTCCCTTCTCTTGCACAAAGTGCCCACCCCAAGCCACCTTTTCATTTGAGTTAATTTACTGGGCAAATTATAGCCTTTCAAGCTCAGAAGTCCTGTCCATTTACTGGAAAAGTTCATTGAAGCCATTAGCAACCCAGGCAAGTGAGCCTGATGAGAGCAATGCTTGATACCTCAGTGAGAACTTTATCAGCAGGCCTGATGCTATCTACGGATCAACACACGTCTCTAGAGAACTGCTCTAGAGGCAACACCATGGAAGTTGCCACTACCTGGTGGCAAAGCTTCTAGATTATGAGTAGCTAGATGGCAGCTTGGACTTCTTAGAGCTGAGAGTTGCTGAAAAAAACAGAACCCAGCTGTGGGTGCAGATTCCATGACAGGAAATGAAGAAACAACTGACTGGATAAGGAAGCTGCTGTTGCTCTTCAAGATAGGGAACTATATGGTAGCTTTGGTAAGTAGTAAACCGATAAAACCACGGAGCTGTGTCACACTTCCAGATCCAACACCACCTCACCTCTGCCTCCATCAGCTTTGTGATGTTGGACTGTTTCCCAATGTAATATTCAATGCCATCCCGAGCACCTTCCAGGGTGGCACCTCGCACCAGCAAGATGAGCAGAATGACGTATGGGAAGAGTGCCGTGAAGTAGACCACCTGTAAGAAGAAAGGCAGGGTCACCCTGAGAGCGAGACAGCACACCTTCCCAGCATGAGGAATGGCCAGGATTTAGGCTGAAAGCTGCTGAATCCACGTGGAAAGCATGGCTGATCAAGGAAGTGAGACTGGAGGTGAACATGCATGTCAAGTGCTAACCATGTCGATTAGCCGGTTCTAGAACCACATTCCATGGGAAGCAGAAGGTCCAAGCCACCCAACCACTTTTAAGATAGTGCTCAGCTTCAGAAATGTGCTTTTGACATGATTTACTACCACAGCAAGGACTGGACTCGGTTACCTCAGAGGTCTCTTGCTGGACAATGTTTCTAGCAAATAAGAGCTCAAAGCCAAAGTCAGGTGGTCAGGATGGAATTATCTCCTGATGCACCTGCATAAAGCCATGCCAGAAGGTTTCTTTGCTGGGAACAAGGACTTTTAAGCACTCTCAGACACAGATTACTTTGCTGTTGGTCTGTATAGCTTCTAGTGCAGATTCTGGCTTCTGACCTGGGTTCTAGTAGGACCTGCAGTGCTATTACCATGCAGGATGCTTGCAGTCATGCTCTTTCTGGATTCTTAGTTTCAGAATTGTGCAGGTAGATAATTGCTGGTTGCACCAAGCCTTACCCCAGTCTTACCTTATTCCTGGAAGAGTTCTACCTTCACGCCAGAAAAGAAGGGACAACAGGAAGAGCCATTGCACAGGAACCCAAAGAATGTGAGGTCAAGAGGAACCATGCGGCAGAACAACTGCAGCTGGGAAAGCACAGATACTCCACCCTGAAGTGCTGAGATGGAGGGCAGAAAGCTCCAAAGAGAAAGGAGAAACATTAGACCGAAGAAAGGAGGGAGGACAGAGAGGAACCGTGGAAAGCCATAGTGAGAGAAGAGATAGGGAAGAAAGCAGGCTAAATGAGAAGGAAAAGGGCAGAAAGGGCAAGAGAAGGCAACAGAGACCAAAGAAGCAACTGTGTGTTGTATCTCCAAGTCTTAAGAGAGCAACTAAACCAGAAGAGCATCAGGCAGGAAGGAATGAAATTCAGCCCGCTGGTGGTGGCTGGAGAGGAGCCTACCTAACCCTGGGCAACACCAGGCAGCCGTGTAGAAGCAACTGAACATGGGAGCTCAGCAGAGCCCGAGCCTGAGAACCAGCATCCATAGACCCGGTCTGTGCGAGCGGCCCCAACCTCAGCTCTACACAGGATGTCACAACCTGGCAGGAAGCTGCACATGCACCTCTGCTTGCAGGGCTTGACCTGTATTTTCCAAACACCTCAAACAGGCCGTAGGTGCCAATAATTAATGGGTGTTCCCAGGGTGTGCGCACACAGTCACGCGTGCATGGCCAGAACCGAGCCTAGGTCTCTCGCGTGACAGCAAGGTCCCCAAATGCCTGGCAGCCCTGGTGGAATGAAGAGACCAGGGCACTAAATATCTGCTCTGCAATCACCATGATTGCTTCATAACTGTTACACAAAACACGAGTAAAGGGCAGCAAAGTTTTCCCTTAGTTAACCTCCCTTAACGACACTGACATTGAGCTGCTGGTCTCTTCCTCCCTTACCTTTCCAGAAGATTTTATTCCTTTAAATAATGCAGCTCCAACAATGATCCAGGACAGGAGGAGGCAGAGCGCCAGGTACCACACAATGTGGCCAGTCTCATCCAGCCCACTTGAGCGCTGAAGAGCCACTTTGCTGAAAAACAGAACGGTGCAATGAGAGGAGAGCAAAGCAAAATATGCTGCTCCTCATCAGCCACCCCAGGGAGGAGAACGAGCAGATTTCTGCAGATATTTGGAGACCCTGAAGTAATTTTCACAAGGGCAGCTCAGCCACTGCGGTTGAAAATATTTTACCCCGTGTTTTTCTTTCTAGAGTCCATCAGCTCTCCATTCTCCACACTTCTCCCAATACGTCTATCTAAGTTCTTTAAAGTTAACCAGAAATTCTCATGGCAAGAAAAAAGCCTTTGAGGAAGGGAACCAGCTTGCAAGATCCTAAAGGAACATGATGCAAATATAAGTCAAGTGACTAAAGAGACTGCACTTTCATGAAAAGCTAGGATTCTGGATAGGTTGAATGTTTTTACACATGTAACTCATTAAATAGTGTATACCATACATAGAGATGCTAGGTAGTCCCTGGCAGGACTCTGGAGAATAAAGTTTCTTTAGCTGGATTATTTTTTAGTTGGCTAAGGTTGGCTCATTTGCTTTGCTGCGATTCATGGTATTTTTAAGGGTTCAGACTCATCAATCAAATTTTAAGTTCCTTCTGCACTGTTGTGCATGCCCATACCCTTGGAGAAGTCTGTTTCCAAAAGTCAAGGTAAAACAAAAATGGTGGATTCATTCAAAAAAAAATCACAATGCAAAACAAATACACTTTTACCGATTTCTGGGGTAATTATGTACACTTACTTCCAGTATTGCTCACTTGGAAATTGCACTGGTTTATAGTTAATGCTGTCATTGATACACGTGAGATTGTGGCTTACGATGTAAGAGTAGTTTGCATGAATGGTTTCATTATCTAAGGTTGCATTGCAGTCACTCACTGCAAGAAAAATAGATAAAAAGCAGTGGATTGTTAATATGCAGAGACAAAAGAAAAATTACAAAAAAAACCTCCACTAGTTTACCAAATGGTTTTGTCACTAAGGCAACAATATTTAGAATACCACTTGCAGCTATGACTGCATTACTTTGTCAGTAAAATCAAATACCAGGGAACCAGCATGCTCACAATCACCTTTACTTACTGCAAAGGTAAAGAATACTTGCCAAAAGCAGGCTGTGTTGAGATGTTAGTCCATAAAAACCTCTGTCCCAAGGCAAAATTCATACAGATCATCCTCTAGCAACTTCTATTATTAGATCCCTTGAAAATCTTCCTTACTTTACTTATTTATTTATTTTTTTAAAACTAGAATGTACAATAAATGTAATCTGTCTCATCATTAAAGAACACCATGTACTGAGAAAGCACTGACAATTTTGGTGCCACTGCTTCAGTTTGGTTTTGTATTCCTCCAGAATCTATGAATTTTAGGCTGAGATATTTTTGCTCAGCCCATTAAAAAGCAGCAGCTTTTCACTAAATGAAGCACCAACTTCTTGTTATATAAACCTTAACTACAGATATAAAAATGTCTTTTCAGAGACTTCAATTATATTAATGCTTCAAGTAATGCAATGCATTTAGTCCCCCAATATTTTGAACTCTCAACAGAGGTTGTGCAGCTCCAGCTGAGCTTATTACTGCTATTTATCTCACTAACTTCACCTTTTCCACTGTATTAGTCTGATACAGACGCTGGTGAGATAACAAGCGTTGGCAGCACATGTGCTGCCAAACATCAAGAACAGTAGTATGGAGATATGTCCTAAAGAGTCAATAAATCACAATAGCAATGCCCCATGGTACTCAGGATTACCACAGGCCAAGAGCAGACAAAAAAAAAAGGTAATGGAAGAACCCCAGATAAATGCTATAGGTGTATTCCTGTTTCAAATGAGGTATTCGCATTGCCTTGAAGGCAGTATTTCTGGGGATTGCATGCATTAGAGGAAAACTAGATTTTAAGAGAGAAAAATGGCAAGCAACAAGAAAGCTTCATCATAGCTCTCTATAGAGAACACAAGGACCTGAAACTGGTAAAAAGGAAATGGGAAAGTTCTGCTCCCATGTGTTCCAAGACAAAATTCCAGGAGGATTTTGTGTGCCATGGGTATCCCTCTTGCTCCTGCAAGTTTTCCCAGAAAATAGCACAAAGAGTAATTATTCAAAACAGGAATATTCAAGCCATATTTGGTACTACTTGGTACAATACCTATTTTTGTTTTGCTGCAGAACTCATCTGCCCAGGAAAAGCAATCTGACCATGGTAGCACTTTTTGAAATGAGGCAAATAAGTAGTATAGTGCATAGGCAATGATAACGTTGTAATAGATTGACACAAATGTTGAGATGATGACCATCGTGACGCCCACTCCTAGGAAAGAGAGAAAGACAACGTCTTAACCACACCAAATACAGGTCAAAATAGCACATGACCTTCAGTGAACTTAGCATGTCCTTCAACTGCCAGGAGAATCCCCTGAAATTATTCCATCACCTTGTAGACTAAGTTCTTACAAGTGCACAGACACTCTTCCCTGGGTAGAGACATGGCACAATAACTTTTCCCTACTGCATGCAAAAAGCAGAGCTAGCTGCAATATTTTGGCTCATTGACTCCCAGATTCCAAATCTTTTCCACTTTTGCACCAACTATGAGCAATGAAGACAAGGGCTAGACAAAACCAATGCATGAGAGCATGTGGAACAAAGTCAGCAGCAACTTTTTCCATAGCTAATGTGAGTAAAGCTGACTTGTGAGTCCCCCTTCCAGAGGCTGCTGTGTAGACTTAGTCCCCTTCCAGAGGCTGCTGTGTAGACTTGGGACAAGATGTGAAAGAAGTGCCTAATATCTGAATATTGTCATGAGTTTGAATCTGCTGCATGCTGTCCCATTAGAGTCAGAGAGTGCACGACACAAGTGTGGAGAAGAATCAAGTTCATAGAAAAATTGCATTAGTTCTGATGTCCAAGTGTAAAGGGGAAGTTCAGCACTGAGATCTTCCATGGGTCAGCGGGAAGTTTTGATCACTTAATGGAAGGGTGAAGAAAAAAAAAAAAAAAGACATAAAAACTAGGGCTGATCCAGCCAGTGCAAAGATCTTGTCGTAACAACTAGCTGTGGCAATATATAAGAAGCAAGAGTGGCATTTCTGTGCCAATACTTTTATCTTCCGTCGTTAAAGCGAACTTTGTTCCATGAGTTTAGAGGACATCTGCCAAACTGTCATTTCAGAGAGTGTATTTAAGGTGAGATCTGCACAGAGACAGAAGGTATTTCTTGTGTCTATAGACTTTTGCTTTTAAGTTAAATGCGCTATTCTTATTTCGAAAGGTTGTTTGTGCTGCTAACCAAAGCCCAGAGGGAGGAGGGAGAAAAAAGTAGAGCTGTTCAGTCAACCAGTCAAACTGCAATCCCTTTTGTTCCTGTAGAAGTTGGCAAGTAAAATTCTCATTGTATCAGAAACATAACTTCCTTGTTCCTACATTAATTCCTCTGATAGATAAAGAGGACAAACAGGACCAATTACATAGTCCTTTACACCCTCCTGTACAGGGCAAGGATGGATAAAGGTGAATAAAGCAGGTGGTTACTCATTTCCAAACATAGATCTTCCCGTGAAATCCAAACAGCTAGGCAACCTAACACTATAGTGTGATTATTTCTATCATAACAGGCGTCCGAGCCAGAATCTGGTCTATTTTATCACAGTGCAACTACCTGGATGAATACATGCAAAGCCATGCATTTAAATATATACATATAAGTGTATAAAGTTCCACGTGCACAGCAGCCATTGCAGAATTAGCCCCTTCAGTGTACAACTGCCTTGGTGCTTGGGGCATAAAGCATATAGAAACAGCAATAAAGTTATTTGCAGCTAGTCATAAGCAGTGCCAGGCATTTACCTGGTCTTTTCCTCACAGAGCAAACAATTTCCTCTAGTCCTCTCATCTGCAATTAGTGTGACATGCTGCATGACACCAAAAGAATCATCGATAAGATCTGTCATTACCAATAGTTTTGTAGGAAACCATTAATCCACATTGATTTATTAACTGGATTTTTTTTAAAAAAAAGAAGAAAAAAAGAAAAGAAAAACTCAAGATCTACCTTAGACATAATAAAACTGACCTTGAAACACAGGCACTATTCTTTGCACAGAGAAGAGCCTGCCGGAATTAATGACTTTGTAAGGGAAATTATTAATCCACATCTGTTTATTAAGATAATAATAAAAATAAAAATCCATATGGAAACAGAGTCATACCAACCTTGAAACAATGGCAATATTCTCCACACAGAAATTGGCCCTAGACTGGCAAACTGCCCCAGGGAACATTCCATGAAAAATAAAGGCAAGCCAGCCAGTGCCAGCATCACTGTATACGGGATTAAAAAGGCACCTGAGGGGGGAAAAAAAACAAAAACCAATGAGCCTTTCAGTATTCACCACAACTGTAATCATTTTATACCTTTTTTGTTGTTGTTGTGCTTTATATCCTACTGTGCTTTTTCGCTTTATGGGGAAGGTATGGATTTGTTGGTCTGCGTTCCTCAAACTATGCAGGACCAGCATGAAGGAACACAGGTTACTAGGAGGACCAGTACTTTACACGGGACAGTCTCTCCCATAGCATTAAAAGGGTGTCACAAAGAGTATCCGACACATGCTGTTCTCCTGAAACCCAACACATCCTGCAATGCTAGAACTGGAAGGGGGCTCCCGTGCAGGTCCTCTTGGCTTCTGCTTTGGCTTCCAGGCTGCAGCGGCGTTTGCAGAGTCAAAGCACGAGGGTGATTTTGCACGCTCGGCCGCCCGCTGCGACAAGCACGATCTCAGCAGGGCTCTTGTGCGAGGCCGTATCAACATGCCCTTCAGCTTGGCAGCAATGAGAGCCCCGTTCTTTCGTGTTTGCACGCACAAACCCAAAAGCAGCGTGAGATAGCGAAGGTGAGAGCACAGGCACCCTAAGCATGACCCAATATCCATGCATTCAACTAGGAGTTAATCCTTGTTGCTAGCAGGCTGCTTAAAAATAACCGAGGAGGCGGATCTGCAAAAGACTGCAAATATCTGCTGTATTTAGGTGACACAACCAAACCAAGTTCACCCCAATAAAACCTCTGCACCAAGAATTCCACCTGATGTCCCACATGCCTCACAGCTACTGACCATGGTGCATTTACAGCTCCAAATTTGGCTTAAAATGACTGTTAGGCAGAGCACCTGAGCACATACAAATAAGTCCCTTGCAGTTACTTGGCATTTGCACCCTTTAATTACCAGCGGTTGCCTGGCGGGTAGGCAAAGCTCTAGATTAGCAGCCGAGGAGGAATCTCGAGCCTCCTTTGGGCCTTGCTGTAGTTCATTGTGTAAGCAGGTAGAGGCTCTCTCAACCTCACACTTCCCAAGCATCTGATGGAGATAATTATCCAGCTCGGATAATTATTCCGGCTTAGCTTGTTTGCCTGGCAAAACAAAGGTTGAGAGGGGATTCAAGTGCTGGCTATAAACATATCAGGGAGGTAAACACTGGGGAGGAAGAACAGCTATTTAAGTGAGCAGAGGCTATTGGTGCCTTGACAAAAGGTCCAAGTCAGTCATTAATAAATTTAGGCTGGAAACGGAAATGTTTCTGTCCATCCAAGGGGGTTTTGGAATAGCTCAATTTCCTGGGGACAAGGACCAGGGCTTGTTCCAGCTGCTTGAATGGCAGCTGGGATCTTTGGAGCCTCATCAGCTCCAAGGGCAGCCCTATTTCCCAGCTTTCCAAAGTGATCTGGAATCTGAGGTGGAAGCTTGCAGTGGAAAAAAATTTCCCTCTTCACTTGGTACTCAGAGAGACCAAGATGCTCCCTCTTCCACTGCCCATTCCTATCAGTGGGCACTATCCCAGTGTGATGCTCCCATCCAGGTCATGACAAAGCGTGCCAGACTCACAGATGTCCCTGAGGGACATCATGGGGACTCAGAGGTCTTCCTCTCCCTGAGGGACATCATGGGGCACCCCCCGACACGGCCACTCAATACAGGTACCTCCGCTTTAGGGAAAGCGCCAGACCCTGCCCAGGCCCACGGCGTAGCCCACCATGGAGAGCAGGTAGTCGCTCTTGTTGGTCCAGTTGCCACGCTCCTGGTTCTCATCACTGCTGCTGGCATGGCCGTCCTTTTCCGTTGACAAACTGAAGTCCTTGGAAGAGAAGGAGAAGAGCGAAGGCTCAGGAAGGCTCCGGAGGGAAAGTGGGCTGAGCACAGCCACCCTTTTCCAGCCAAAGCTGAACCCAACATTGTGAGATGAGGTGGGCACGGCTAAGCAGTCTGCCAGCCCAGATAGTCCCTGGCAGAGGAGCAAGGACCTGCAAGAGGGTCTCCTTGGAAAACCTAGTGCATCCTCAGGGCCAGCCTTGCCCTGCTCCCTCCTGAATCCCCTGAGTTGGTAGAACCCCCTCTCCCTCCCAACCTGCATGTGCCCAGGTGCCCTGTACCTGGCCAGGTGCTCAGCCCAGCTCATTTCTGTGCATTCACTCTAAACCACCCATCCAGGTCTTCTTATACCTCTATAGGTGACCCCTGGCTCAGCTCCCTACTTGCCTTAGCACCCCATGCCCACCCAGGTGGCACCCAGGTTCCCAGCATCTCTCACCTGCCCATCTTGTCCCACGCACATCCCAGGGGCTCCCCCCAAGCCCATCACCCCCAGACCTGTCCCCGTTCAGGACAGGTCCTTCTCCCGTGCAGCCTCCCGCAGCAGCAGAGGGTGC